CACAGAAAATGTTTACATAGTGGATTAAGAGCCTCATTGGCCGAGTTACGTGAAAAATTTTGGATCACCAAAGGAAGAGCTTTTATGAAAAAAGTTATAGAAAAATGTGAATATTGTTCTAGATTAAAATTAAAAGCATTTGAAATTCCCCCAATGGCTCCATTACCGAAAGAAAGAGTAAATAAATCTAATCCATTTCAATTTTGTGGCATAGACTATTTTGGCCCATACAATATTCGAAAAGCAAATAAAGAAATCGGAAAAATTTATGTTGTTATTTTTGTTTGTGAATCGACACGGGCCATACATTTGGAAATGGTCAATGACCTTACAGCTAATAATTGTATAATGGCTTTACGCCGATTTTTTGCTGAATATGGGAAACCCACAAAAATTCTTTCTGATAATGGGACCCAACTAAAATTAACATCAAAAGTTGTAAAAGAAATAACAAAGTTCTCAACAAAAGAAACTATTGAATGGACATTTATCCCGTCTCTTTCTCCTCGATTTGGTGCATTTTATGAGCGAATTATTGGAATAGTAAAACCAGCAATGAAAGCTGCGACTGGTAAACGATTATTAGAGTCTGAAGAATTCCGAACGCTTTTGGCTGAAGTAAAAAAGGTAGTCAATTCTAGGCCTCTGACTTATGTGTACAATGAACCAGGGGATAATGTCGAAGTTCTTACCCCAATGAAAGCAATTCAACCTAATCGAAATAAAGAAAACTTTGATATAGATTTTGAAAGAGAAAGAAGTTGTGAAAGAGAGAAACCAGAAGAAAAATTAACCCGCATATGGAAAAATTCTAGAGAAGCGGTTGAAATGTTTTGGAAGCGTTGGAATAAAGAGTACTTGCAATATCTACGCGAGCGGGCCGACAAATACAAACACAATAAAGGAAAAAATTATGTCCCTGAAAAGGGAGAAATTGTTCTTTTACAGGATAAATCATTGCCAAAAAATTTATGGAATTTAGCCAAAATAATTGAAACAATAAAAGGAAAAGACAATATTGTAAGAGTAGCCAAAGTTCTATGTAAAGGAAAAATATTAACTAGGGCCATAGATTTGTTGTATCCACTCGAACTTAAGGCCGAATGCGAAGAAAAAATAATTGATAAAAATCAAAAAATAGGGACTAAAATGCACGAAATGAAATTAAGGACTAGAAAAAAGATAAATTATAAAGAGAGCGATTTAGAAAGTGACGTGTCAAGTGAAATAGAAATGAATCTTTGCCCATTCCTTTACGAAAGACGAAATTTCACCCCGCCAAAAATTGAAAGAATTGATCCAAATAAAAATAGAATATTTACAAATAAACAAAAATTTAATTGGGAAAAAGAAGGGCAGAGTTTAGCTAGTAAAATACAAGAGGAAATAAAAGAGATACCCGAAATTGAAAGTAAATTGGAGTCAATAACTGAAGAAATATATGGGATAAAAAATAAAATAAATTTAATTGAACCATTAAAAGAGGAAATAAATAAATTAAAATTGGAAAATAATAATTTAAAACAAGATTATGACAATTTAAAAATATTAGCGGAAAGAAACAGAAATGATATGAATAGGTTAATTGCGGATATTTATAAGTCGCCAGAAAAGATGAATACAAAATGCCAAAACTCGAAAAAACAAAATTCCCGCAAAAATTCAAAAAATAAATTCCTGAACACTTCTGTCTTTTTAATGTCTCTGGTACTAATTCTTTTTATATTAATGGGGAGAAGCGTTGGAGCACCGTGCCAAAAAGGACAAAGGAATGTTTTAGTCAAGTCGCAAACGTGCGCAACCAACGGGTTAAAAATAATGAAAGCACCCGATGGGAATTTTTGTTGGGAAATAATTAATTGTGATTATTCTAAAAAGGAACATTTTGAGTCTGAAAACTGTAATGTACCTTGTAAATGCCCACAATGGACCGAAACATGTTCCTTTTATAATGGCCCCAGTACTAAAAATTCAACAATAAAAAATAAAAATGTTCAAAAGATTTTGGAAAGTTTGGCTTTAGAAAAATGTGAGAAAATTGAAAATTGTGGGCCCCTAAAATTAATAGAAGTGAATCAAATACAATTATTTGACAATTCTCTCCATATAATAAAGGAAATGAAAATTGAAGAAAAACAAGCACTACCCGAAGAATATGAATGTATAGGAACCGGACCCATTACAGGCTCCCCTAAATATTGTTTAGACCATATCTGTGAGCTACATGGAACAAAATTTTGTTATTACCCAGGAAATGAAATTTCTCTCCTAGTAAATGATAATGGAAATATAGCTTTGAAGGCTTGGGGTCGTGTAAAAATAAAAGTTAGGGGATTTCTTGAAAGAAAAGAAAATTTAAAATGTGAAAAATGTCATGTTGAATGTCACAAAGAGGGAGTAAAAATATTTTCACAAGAAGAGATAGGAAGTGTAGAGATATGTGTAAAAAATGATCGATGCGCGCTCTTTCCCCACCCAAAATTGGAAGAATTAATTCCATTATCAAAAGAAATATTGGTTTCAAATTATGAAATTAAAATTAAATTTTGGAGATACGGAGAATTAGTAAAAGAATCTGGGATAAATTGTGAAGCTAAAGTAATTTGTGAAATTATAAAATGTAATATTTGTATAGAATTGCTTAAAAATCCACAATGTGCTTCAAAAACTGCTATAATATTGTTCGCAATAATTTTCTATATATTCTTTTCAATAATAATGACTGTTTTTCGTGTGATTGTGTTTGGATTCAGAGGGGCATTTTGCTTATTAAATTTTAAATTTCGATTAATGCGATGGATTTATAGAAAATATAATATAAAGAGTAATCGGGGCAAAAATGAGGAAAGTGAACTAAAATTAATAAAAGCCAAAAGGGAAATAAATCCGATAAAATTAACAATAGTATTAATATTTTTGACCATTCCCGAAAGTCTTCAATTAACCACTATTACCGCTCAGGAAGAAAAATGTGTTGTAAATAAAAATAAAGAGCGGACATGCTTATTTGAAAAAGTGATTGAGTTAAATTTTCTACCTAGGGAACAAGAAATCAAAATATTATTTGAGGATCACGCTAACAGACCAGCAGGAATGATAAATTTAAAAATATTAAACGCGGAAGCACGCTGCGCAAAGAAAACAAAATTTTTTACAAGAGAATATGAAATGAATGTAATGAGTGTTAAGAGATGCCCAGAAACAGGAAGTTGTAAAGGTAATAAATGCGCGGAAATTAAAGTAAATGAAACAATATTAGAATTAGAAGCAGTCCAAAACTTTCCGGGGATTACAGGTTGTGTCGAAGGTATGAATAATTGGCCAATGACAGGATGTTTCTATGCTACAGCTCCATGCACTTTTTATAGGTACTATGCAAAACCTATAGGAAACGAAATTTTTGAAGTCTTTGAATGTGAAAAGTGGGATATCGCATTAAACTTAAATGTTTCATTAACTAAAAATGACGGAAAGGGAGAATTTATAAGCGAAAGTTTTGAAGTAAATTTAATACCCCAATTTATGAAAGAATGGAATAAATTAAAAATGGTTTTAAATGATTTAAACATCCCTCCCACTCCTACACTAGTCAAACCTTTTATAGCCAATAATCGCGCTACAGCCATTATCGATTTTGAAAAAGAGCATAATCTTAGGAAATTTTATTGTAAAACAGCGCAAGAGGCGAGAGAATTTATAAAATGTAGTATAGCGTATAAAACCTGCGATTGCCATTTGGCCAACGATATAGCCGCGTGTACTTGTCAAGATGGGAGAAAAATATCCCAATTATTAAGAGGGGACCAAACTTTACCCTTTGAACACAACGGTCTCGTTTTTAAAACAAAAAACTCTGAAGTAATTTTTAATCCTGACCTAGCTTCCGCAAAAATGGAAGTTAGAATTGAAGGAATGTTTTTGCGCACAGAAATTGAATTAAATAGTTGTAAAGTCCAATCCGCGTCAATAGAAGGCTGTTACAAATGCGTTAGAGGGGCAATATTAACATTACAATGCAAAACAGATTTTGGGAAAAACCTAGGGTATATAACATGTCCTAGCTTAAAAACTGTTGTGATTTGTGATCCTAAAGGAACCAAGAGAATTATTTCAGTCCATTTAGAACATTCTAATATCGATGAAAATTGTGAAATCCATTGTCCCAGTTCAAACTTTAATTTTCAGTTAGTTGGAACATTAGCCCTGGCGAGCGCGGAGAAAGCAGATATTTGGATAAAAACAAAAACAAATGAAACAAAATTCGGAGAAATAAATTTACCGAGCATATTGGACACGCTTTCTTTCTTTTTTAACCCTCTGCACATCTTAATTTTTATTGCAACAATAATTTCCTTACTTCTACTAATCAACTGCATCCTACCAATACTCTTTCGCTTAATTCTAATTTCTGTCTACAAATTTTGTTTCCGCCGGAGTGTCGGGACTGGCCCGACTTAATGATGTTTCATAATATTATATTTTTAATATTTTTTAACAAAATTCCAATTTCTATTTTTATTATTATTTCATAATCTTTCCGATGATTCTTTTCATGTTTCTTCCCAAATAATTCATATTTTTGATATTCCAACTTAATCATACTTTTAAAACAATTCTTGTTTTCACCCTTCTTTAAAAGCAAATTCTAATGCCCCAAAAATATCTTTTTCCTCTTCACTTTTAATTTTAAGAATAAAAATCTTCCCCCAAAAAAATTATTAAAACTTTTAAACTTTGAGAATAAATATTAAAATTTTACGTCTTTTCGAATTTATTTTAAGTCGAAATTTATTAATTTCGACAGAAGAAAACATTTTTCAATTGTAGCTGATCCACCATTAGAAGGAGAAGCTTCAAACGCTGTTGCTCGAACTGTTATCAATTTTATAGATGCTTTACTTTTAACCTTAAATTAAAATTAGAATTAATAAATTTCAATTTCCAAAACTTATGTTAATTTCTTCTATGAATAAACAAAATTTTACATAGAATTTATGTGGTCATTTTATTTTTAAGAATATAAAAACCTTCTCAATCGCATTTCCGGCATAAGTTGGTCTTGAGAAAGAATCATCACTATGTACATGTGTTATTTCCGATATTGGAGATACATTTAGAATTGCCGCAGTTCTTGGTATAACACCTCGACTGAAGGTAGAAGCTCCGGCAATAATGTGTGTAAAATTAAATTGTTTTTGGACCGCTGAAAGAATTGTAGAAACTCTTTCAGGTAAATTAGCTGTCAATTTTTCATTTTGAGCGAAAAGAACACGCTAAAATAATTTTTATTGTATTTAATAAAATTTAAAAAAAACTTTTATATCAGATATTTTTGCTGATTCTTTTGCAATTTCTTCAGAATTTTTTCCTGTTACGAGCATGGAAATTTCATGACCAATTTTTTTTGCAGCAGTGACTGCATTTAATGTTAAAGGATTTAACTTTTGATCATTATGCTCAGCCAAAACAAGAGTACTTGCCAAACGAAACTAATAAATGAAAAGAAAAATGAGAATTAGTTTTTTAATCACTTACACTATTCGTATAAAGTTGGACGTTCTTTACAGGAAGAATATTCAGATACATGTCAAACTAAGAAATACTGAAAAATCTGAAAATTATAAATCGACAATAAGTTTTGCTGGCTACAGGCCTGGGCAAAATCGCATTCTCGTGATCCTGGGAAAGATTTTTTCAAAATTGTGAAAGGGGGTGAATCCTGTTCGCGTGAATCCCGCGTTCATCGCCTAAACCACGGCATTTCGGGACGGGATCCCAAAAATCCCGTACAGGATCCCGTTCTGTGCCGCACTCTTTTTTGCCAATTGTCAAATTGCGAGACTCAAACGGTGGGATAGGGGCTCAATTGTCACGTTCCGTTTAAATTGTGGTTCAAACGATTTTTAGTAGTTTTCGGCAACAATGTGTTTTTTTCCGGCAACAGATGCCTAGTTGGCGAGTTCTGATTTGCAAGTTATGGGCAGCCATAGAAACCGGAAAAATCCGGTCGTATTCTACCAACATTTTGACTTTATTGTAAAGATTTACTTTTTTTATTTTATTTACAGATAATCCAAACCTAATTTATTTCTAATTATTTAAATCACATGGCCTTGAAAGAACTTCCGAAAGAAATTGTATCTAATTTAACCAATTTCAATAATATTTATTCTTTTTTCCAGGGTAATTACGATGTTTTAGATGAAATTGGCAGTGGCGGATTTGGAACTGTTTACCTTTGCAAGGATAAAACTCTTGGTGTATTATGTGCCATCAAAAAAATTAAAGTAAAAAAATACTATCTGAATATAAGTAGATAATTTTCCTATTTTTTTCGGATATACTTTAGCCGGTAGCCGATTTATATTCAATTTATATGTCATTCGTCTCGGCGAGCTGTGTCGAACGGTACCACTCTCCACCACCGAAAATACCTTCGGCCCGAGATACAGGCTCAGAAAAATCGAAAACCATAGGGGGAATAAGCTGATTTTTGGGGTGAAAAATTCGAATACGAAAATAATGGCTCATTTGACTTTATTTTTCTATTCAGGCCCTATATCCAGTTTGTCTTTGAAAGTGTGTTAACATGTCCGTCTACATTTTGTTTTCTTTTAGATTTTTTAAAATTTATTTTGATATCTTCAAATAATCTAATATAAAAACGAATGAACTATCGAACGGACAAGACTAACTGGATATAGATTCTACTGAACTCAGAAATAAATTAAAAATAGTCATTGCATATTTTAATAACTTCTAATTTTTCTTTGAAGTTATTTTAACAAAAAGAATGAAAAATATAAAGGTCATCTATATTAAAATATCGAGGATAGCTTCATTAATTTTTTAATCAATAAATATTTTTCTACATCTTTTTTTAGGATAAGTCAAAGATTGATCCAAAAACAGAAATTGCAATACATACAAGGCTAATGCACAAACGAGGCATAGTTAAAATCATTGAACATTTCGAACTTGGAGGATCTGTTTATATAGTTATGGAATATTGCAAAGATGGGAGTTTGCGAGAGTATGTAAAGAAAAATGGGCCAATGGGAGTTCTTTTAGGTTTTTATTTTAAATATTTTTAATATTTTCCATTTTCAAGCAACTGATATTCTTATACAATTATGCGATGCATTAAAATTAATTCATGATGAGGATATTGCACATAGAGACTTGACACCAAATAATGTTTTAATTTGGGAAATTAAAAGAGGAAGAGATGACGATGTTAAACGAATTCGTGTGGTAATTTTTATTTTGAAAAAATTTAATAAATTATTTTTTAGAAAGTTACAGATTTTGGATTATCTAAAGAAACACCAAATAACAAACAAGGACTTTTTAAGACAACACTTGGAACTATTCCGTTTATGGCTCCGTTAGTTTATTAATTTAAAATTTTCATTCAAGAAAAGTTTTTAGTGAAGTTCTTGCTGGGAAATACACAAAAGCTGCAGATGTTTTTGCACTTGGCTCAATATTTTATTTTCTTTTATCAGGAAGTTATTTGACTGATAGATCCAATTCTGATAAACGTCCGAAACTTTCAACTACTTTGGATGGTGTTATAAAAAGGAATTCGATAGCGAAATTCGATTCAAATATTAAGAATAATTTGAGATCATTTTTGCATGCAATGCTTTGCGACGAAAAAACTAGAATTCGTTTAGACGGTAATTTTATATTTAATTAGTGGCGACGATGAAATATTTGGAATTTGAGCTTAGGCGCATGTTATAATAAACGTGTGTGAAAATATGAAAAAAAATAAAGATGAACAATTTTAGAGCTTTTTTCTTATATTAATGTTTAAACTTTAATTTTTTTAAGAAATTAGAGATCATAAATTTATGGAATGGTTTTATGATGAACGTTATGAAATTGATCCAGAATTAAGAGAATTTTGTTCACACTCACAAAATGGGCATTTGAGAAGTAGAAGTCAAAGTAGAGAGTCTGAAAGAAAACCGTTACAGCAACTTAACAGACAAGATGTACAAAAAAGATCAAACAGAGATTCAGCATTTGGAAGTGACGTATGATGAATGAAATTTTGATGGGGAAAATTTTTAAGCTTTAAAAGCTTTAACGTATAGGCAAATTTAGTAGGTTAAGGAAATATTTGGATTAAGCTCCATTATGTTGAGGTCCTTATTTAAGGTCAAGTAAATTTACTCCTATTTTATATTTTTATTTCAAAATTATAATAATTTAAATTTTATTTATAAATTTAAAGCAAAGTAATAGTGGAAGTGGTCGTTGCCGTCATCCACAAACCGATCAAAATGGCCGTTGCTTAACATGCTCCTTTAAGTTGGTTATATCAATATTTTAAATATATTAAAATTTTATTTTTAGAACCAATAAATTACATTTGAGTGAGCCACCAAAGGTATTAAAAAGGAAAAATATTTTAACAAAAAATTTTATTTGAGAGAAATATTTTTCCTGGCGATTCCAATAATAACATCAGAAATATACAATCGAATCCGACACGTCCGCAATATGCCAGTACATCAAAAGATAAACGATACGAACCAGATCTTCCAGCTACTAGTTCACAAAACAATGAAGCATCAATTTATGATTTAAAACAGGCACCATGGCCACTACCAAAAATCACTTATACTTACACAGCCGTACATCAATCAGGAAGAGTATATATTTTATATAAAATATTTTTCTTTAAAATTCGTTTTAGTGCATTTTTTATAACTATTCACATGCAAGAGAACGTTTACCATTAGTTGCTGTACTAGAAAAATCATCGCCTAAAGATAATCAAACAATTTGCAAAATTTTTGAATTAAGACAAAATGATAAGGAACAAGAAGTAAAGGGCATTTTATATGATTTAATAACTCAATTTATAACTTTAACTCAGTTACGAATATTACAACCACAAGGGAAAAATGTAAGAAAACCTGAACGTAATGGAGAAAGAATTACAGATGCACGAGAATTGGTTCGTCTTAAAAGGTTATTTAATTCAATGTTATTAAGATAACTTTCTATTTAATAGTTTTGCTGAATTTCGAGATTGTAAAATGGCAAAAGATGGATATGAAACACTGTGGGGGTTTTTAAAAATGGCTGCAAGTAGAATTGTTCAGGGATATTGCGAAGAAATCATAGGTCACCGCAAATATAGGATAGAACTTTATTTGAATGGATGGGCCAGCCTCTTTATAGGGCCTGGAGGTGCTAAAGGTATTTTTTAGGATTCAAACTCCTATACGCTTTAAATCCCTATTATAAAGGAAAAATGGGACAGTTTTTCAATAGTTTTTTAAAACATTTGATTTTGGCCATAATAATTGACCAAATTAAGGAAAAAATAGTGTTTATGTTATCGGTCAACATTTCCCTTATTCTTTTTTCTTCTGAATATTAGAGATGCCCAATACCGAAAAATTTTCCAAGACTCGAGACCAAAACTTGACCCCGACTTTAGAATGAACATTAGCAAGACAATTTTTGATACCATATGGCAAAATTTTGGTCCATTTTTCGTCCCTAGATTGGGTTATTTTAGGTGCCCCAGATAATGGAAAGGCGCCAAAAAATAAACTGACTTTATAATGATTCGTTTTAGATATTAATGATTTGAAACTTTCTGGAAAGCAAAAAACACATAATGGACAATTTGAAAAGGTTCAAACTGGAGCTACTTTAACTGAAAGTAAAATAGGAAACATACAATTTATAAAGGATTTTATATACTATATTTTTCAGAAGAACAATTGCCAGCCATCGAATTGGCGAAGGCATTAAGAACTCATGTAAAGGAATCGGTTTGGAAAAAATTCAACAGAAGAAATATTAGATGCACAATTTACACACACGGGTTTGGGTGAATATCCCAGGATTTAATTAGATTTTCCCCTAAGCCAAATTCCACATTTAATTTGTTGTACACTTTGATCTTTCAATAAAAATTTTCTTATGCGAGATGGGAATTTTTGAAATCTACAAAATACGCAGTGGAATAAAGCTTTACTGAAGAATTTGTAGTAGCCAGTTGTTTTGGATCGTCGGAAACTTAAACTATCGAATTATATATTTTTAAGAAATTGACACGATTATGTTTTTCGAAGTAAAATTTAGAGAAATTGATTTAAATGATTTAAACTTGAATGTATTACAATTTAAAAGTACAACTTGAAAAGTATTACGAGAGGTTAATGCGTAAATAGAGCCGAAGAGGGAGTTTGTACCTCCAAACAGATCATTTTGAAATAAATTAAAGTCATCGTTGAAAGTCAACTCTCACCAACCAATTTCAAACAGGTTGTGTCTTTGGAACTGCGGTTGACGGCTGCTGTGCACCCTTCTAGAATTTAATAATATATGATGAATAATCTGATAGTTTACCTTGTTCATGAGGTAGCGATGAATGTGCGGAATAACTCCCCCACCAGCAATGGTTGCTTTGATAAGCGAATCAAGCTTAAAAAGAAACGAGTAATAAAAATTAAAATAAACATGTAAAAATCGATAAGGTTTTGGATAAGAATAATAACAGATCTACCCTACAATAGTGGATTTTATAGATTTTTATGTAGCTTGGCAAGACTGGGTTGTCCACCAATAATGATTGAATGCCAAAAACAAACTAGTAATAGAGAAGTTCATAGAATAAACGATAATAAAATCTAATTTAGTTTATAAATTTTTACCTCCTCATCACCTCGAATTGCAAGGTGAAGATGTCTAGGCGTAACGCGCTTCACTTTAAGATCTTTAGATGCATTTCCAGCCAACTCAAGAACTTCAGCTGTTAAATATTCCAGTATAGCGGCACTATATACAGCAGCAGTAGCGCCAACACGCCCAGTGCTTGTTGTTCTTTTCTTAAGGAAACGATGAATACGGCCAACAGGAAACTGTAAGCCAGCTCTAGCACTCCTCGAAATAACTTTCTGAAAATTTTTGTAAGACGATAGATTTGATGTTTCGGTAATCCCTAGGATCATTTGTCCCGAGAAAAGATGCTCTTCCTTATTTTTGAGGCCTGCATGTAGGCCTGCGCTGAGTTTTTGAGGCCTGCGCTGAGTCCGAATCTGAGCTTATAATTCGTTTATTTAGAATCCGGGACCCGAATTCGACAGTCGAATTCGGGGTAAAAATCGAAATTAAAATTTAAGGGTCAAAAGCAGGCCTCAAAAATACGGAAGAGCATTTTTTGCTAATTTTTTTTCTCAGGACCAGTGATCTTAAGGATTAACGATGTCTATTTTACTGATCCATAAAAAAAGACTCATAACTACTTCATAAAAATGTTAGTCTAATTTCATGGATCAGAAGAAAAAACATTCTATTAGACATACCTTAGATTTTGCTTTTCCACTATCTTTTCCTGCTTTTCCTTTTCCTCCTGGCATTTTGCTAATTAATAACAAAGAATTTGTCTAAAAAGTTTAAAATAATTAATTTTAAATAATTTTAAAATCTAAAAAGTTTAAAATAAGATAGTAAAAGTATTATGTAATTAAAATTTTTTGAAGAAATTAAAAAAAACTAATACCCACAACACTCCATACTACATAATATGCACTGGAAAATAAAACACACGCCAAAAGATAATTTTGTAAAGAACAAACACAGCGGGTCTACAACGTTTACGCACGCGCGAAAACTACCTGCTTACTATTTCCTCTTTTTTCTTTCTCTAAAAGAACTCTCTTACGGAGGGGGTTGAAAAATAGCGTTTTAATTTAAGAGAGAAATTGCGGACTGGGACAATTCTGTGCCAAACCAGTTCCGTGTCGGCCGATTTCCCGGGTACAGCCCAAGTAGGCGCGCGGCCCAAGTAGGCGCAAAGCCATAACTTGCTTCAGGATTTCGGAATCTTAACAATTTTAGTATAAACGATTCCTCTCAACGAGCTAAAGAGATTGATACCAAAATTGATGAGGATCAGAAATTTTCAAGGTAATTATGGCTTTGCGCCTACGCGGCCGCGCGCCTACTTGGGAAAAGGCACAGAAACGTCCCCCCGCTGAAAAAGGGACGTTTCTGTGCCAATTTTATTTTTTCTAACTTTTTCTTTTTAAAGTTCAATTGGGTCCCCACGATTGAATCCCCTTGTGTTTTTGCAAACCGATAATTTTATCAAAAATCTGATAAATTTTTAAGAAATCATGCGTTCCAAATATCCTCAAAAAGTTAGTAAGAATACCGAAAATTACGGAAAGAAGGCAGCTAAAATTTAACAAAAATTTCTATGAAATTAACTATAAACAAGTAGAAAAAACTCAAAACGAAGAAATAAGGCCGTTTATGTGGCCATCGATTATTTCTAACAGTTATTGATTATTATCTCTCAATCAGATTCTACCTGATTTTTCTTTAAATTTTCATTATTTTTTGTATTTTAGTTTATTTTATCGATATGAATGGTCAGCCAGCTTATCGTAACATAAGTCAAAATGTTGATTTGAATCATGATGCTCTTGGCGGGTTAGATGATATATTTCTTAACTTAGATACATCTTTTATCTTTCAGTGATTCTTTGGAACGATTGATGATGAAAGATGCTTTAAGAGCCGTTAAGGACAATCAATACGATTTCGATGCTTGGACCAGGCTTTTAAAGATAGTGGAGAAAGTCGTATGTTTTGGATTTTATTATTTTTATACATTTAATATTTTGCTTATTAGAATGATGAGAAGGCATCTCGCGATGCTTATGATGGATTTCTTAGACGCTACCCGTACTGTTATGGTTATTGGAAGAAATATGCCGATTTTGAGCGCAACAACAAACATTATGAAAAATGCTTGACGGTAAAGTTTTATGCACTTATTGACTAATTATTGCTCTTTTCAGGTATATGAACGTGGACTCGAAGCAATTCCATTGAGCGTCGATCTTTGGCTTTCGTATATTGCTTACGTGAAGGAGATAGCTCAAGGACAAAGGCAAGCTACTGCAAAGATTAGAGAGTAAGTATTTAGATTTTCAATCTCAAAATTTGCTTTCCTAAAATAAGAACGTTTTTCTCAAATAGCACTTTCAGAGATGAAGCACTTGCTCATTTTTCATCTTTCGTGAAATTTTGCCTCCCGAAGGGCGGGTTTGGAATGAAAGAATAATAGAAAATTTTGAAAACATGATAATTTGATAATTTCCCCAGCGATCTCGGGCTTTATACATATTTCTTTTATTGTAAATAGTGATTATTTATAGTGAGTATTTTAGTCCCTGAATAAATTCCTTTTTTTGTTTTTAATATAAGGAATTGAAAGATTGTGTGGTGTTTACTTGTTAGCGTGATTTTTCCTTTAAATTTGAGAATTTTACTTAACATTCGGCGTCATTTTTGTTTCTGATGCTTTTCTGATGTTTAATTAACTTTACAAACGAAGAGAGATGTGAAACAAGAAAAGAAATTTAAGTGATTTTAGAAAGATTTATATTCAGAAGAGATTGATATAAGTAGAAAACTTCATTCTTTATTTTATATTTATGTTTTCCTACTTTAAAATTTTTCAACATTATTTTTAGCGTATATACACGGGCGTTGGAGGCTTGCGGTTTGGAATTTCGTTCAGATAAGCTGTGGGTTGAGTTTATCGATTGGGAGATTAGCAATGGTGAATTTGACAAGGCGATGATTCTTTTTGATGTTCTTATTTCAACTCCTATAGCTTTGTTTGCGAGTCACTTTGAAAAGTTTAACAAAATTTTAATTAATTTTTATATTAGCGTTTAGGTTCAAACAGTTTGTAAATAGTCAAGAGCCTGATAGAATACTTACTTCGGAAGAGTACAACGCCATTACTGATCTGATTTATCCAAAAATCAAGGACTCTCTGGATGGAGAACCTCTCTTTTTTATGGAAGAATATGAAGATGATAGTATTCCAATAGATGGAGAAAACATTGAAGAAGTTCAGCCGAAGACAGTGCGACGCAGGAAGGTTATTATATTTTAAAGGGACCCTTTAACCTATAAATTTAGCACAATGAGCATGCTTTAAAAGTTTTCCGTGAGGAGATTATAAATCGTAAACACCAGTTATATTTGGAGAATGAACGGGAGGTCAGTATTCGTTGGGTCTATGAAAATGCTGTATGTTTAATTTTTTATTTTTAAATATAAGTACTTTCAGATAAAAAGACCATATTTCCATGTTAAACCATTGGAGCGTGATCAATTGCGTAATTGGTATTCTTATTTAGATTTTGAAATTAGAACCGGCAAAAAGACTCGCATTCTATTTCTTTTTGAACGTTGCATGATTGCTTGTGCAAATTATGAAGAGATGTGGATTAAGGTGGCTTTTTAACTGGACATTAAATTAATATTATTTAGTATGCTAACTACTTGGAACAGCTTGACGATTTGGCATCAGCTCGTGCCATTTATAAACGGGCAACTGGTTTAATTTAATTTATTAAAAATTTTTATAAGAATTTTAAGGAATTCATTGCCCTAGAAAACCTGGAATACATTTGGCTTATAGCGCTTTTGAAGAGAAGTTGGGTGATATTGAAACTTCTGAGGCTATATTGACGGTAATTTTAACTTTCTAATTCGGAAGGGATATGTGTATTAAATTTTCTTTCAAAACTTCAGGAATTTGATCGGCGTCATCCTGATTATATTTCAATACATCTACGACTCATTTCAATTGAACGCCGTAAAGCCAACAAAAACGGGTATTTATGTTTTTCTTGGGTGAATTGAACTTTCGAGGTATCCAATCGATTGTTCATATTTTCCCATTAGCTATAGTGTATTTTCTAATTAATAACATTTTTTAAGAAATCCTGATTATTCATCATTGGTTGCTAAATATGAGCGTTTGATTCAAGATTCTCCTTCGAAAAAAGTTGCTTCATTTTGGGCATTAAAATTGGCGCGTTTTCATACCAGATTTCGTCATGATAGAAAGTTGGCTAAAAAAGTCTTGAAGGAGGCTATTTCTAAAGATAAGGTATTTAAGTTCGGAATAAATTTTCAATATGATGTAAGATGCAAAGGAAACAAGAAAGGGCAAAATTATTAAGAAATAAGAATTAGTAACTAATTAATTTTAAGCACTTTACATATTATTTTCCCGTGACTCCTGTGCTTACTATTTTACATTTTATTAGTTTTGAATTCCGAATATTTATACATTTTATTTTTCAAAATTGTAGGATAATGTGCAGCTTTATCTACAACTTGTGGATCTTGCTTACAGTTCATCTCATTCTAGAGACAGTGAAATAATAGCGGCATTTGATACGGCTGTTGACAGTAAGGATCTTGGCTTAGAAGAACGTTATCAATTTTCACTTCGAAAAATGGAATTTTTAGAGGAAATGAGTGGAGATATTTCTCGGTATTAATAATCTTTTTCTCTTTAATTTCTAAAAATTACAGGTTACATCAACACATTGAAAAACATTTAGCACTGGAGAAAACATTTGATACGCCTCCTCAAATGACAATTTTTCACGGAAAACGAGTTCCTTTGTTTAAAGAGTAATTCCAAATTTTGTGTGTTAATTTAAAATAAATTATTAAATTTAGAACTTTACCTCAACAATTGGTTGATCAAAAACATTTGAAGGAGGAAGAGCCACCAGAGAAACGTCCAAAAACTGAAATAATGGATTAGAATGAGAGAAAAGTTCTTTTTTAACCAAAAATTTTTTTTCCATTTTAGCTTTGCTATCATTTTTGTTATCTACATATTTCTTAATCATTTAAAATATATTTCTTGATTTTGGTATTTGAAAAAATTATTTTAATAAAGTTCAATGTTACAATCTTAGAAATCTTTGAATATTAAAAAATGAGTGTTTGTTTGAGGGAACCCCCAAAGAGATAAAACCAAATCAAGAAAATATGAAAATTTCGACAGTTAAAACCACCATTCTGATTAATGTTGATATTTGTTGGCTATAATAAATTTTCTCTTTAATTATTTAGACTACATATATAAATTACGTATTACTCGTTCATTAATACTTAAATAATTTAAAATTTTTATTAACTAAATTTTAATTCAGTTATGGCAGAAATTGATGGTTATTTTAGGTCAGGAACGGGTTTGACTTGTTTAGCCTGCAGATTGGTTTTTGCAGATGCTATAATTCAGAAACAACATTATACAAGTGATTGGCATAGATATAATCTTAAAAGACATGTGAGTTTTGATGGTTTCTAATCATGGTTATGGGATGATATGTTTTAAAATCTTTTGAAAAATCTAAAAACTTATTGTAAATATTACCAATAAATTCTATAAAATAAAATTTTTGAACTTTAGGTCGCAAATCTTGCTCCGATTAGTGAAACTACATTTTTGGAGAAATCACTTCAAGTTGCTCAGGTTTTAATTCATATTTAAAATTAAAATAAATAAACGTTTTAAGGACTGCGAAAAGTTTAAATCTTCTCATAAA